CAATGGTCCCCATCTCCTAAGAGCAAGTTTGAGGACTGACTGGACTTAGCCTGCAGTGGAAAAAAAGTGTCCCAGCATCCTGCTACTTGGTGTTGAAAACATTGAAGGACTTGACCTTTTGACTTGATCTCATGTGCGTAAAAGACCTTTCCTAGGACTGGAAATCTAAGGTTCATGTTCAGACCTTTTAGGGATTTTGGTGGCATGGGAAAGCCAGAGGAGAGGAGTTTGTATACTGGTAAACTTCTAAGTGTGACATTTGTGGAAAACTCACTGGAGGTTCCTCAGTATTCACTGATTGAGAAAGTAATGCTTTAGCTAAGCAGTCTAGTAATTTCTCAAGAATGACAGAAGGTAGAAGAGCAATGAAAGATGGAAAAAAAAAAAAAACCAAAATGGTATGCAAATACCTTAATTTTAAGAACCTTCAGAATAAGTTTTTAGCAGCATTCTTCCCAAGTCCTTTCATAAAGGTCCAGTGGAGGCTATCATACCAGGGCACTGAGAACTGTTTGCTAATCTCGACTGAGTGGAGAAAATATTACGGAAAGAATTAAAATTTATTTAAAAAGCGAATTTCTATTCAACATAAAACACCAGTAGCTCAATTGTCTAGGATTTGCAGGGTGTGAAATATTCCGAGTGATTGATGTTTCCGGAGAAGTGAAGCTAACCATGTGCCCAATTTTTTAAAGCATTTAATTCCTTTTAAGTGTAATGCTATATACTTCCCTGTCTTTTGTAAAACTTCAAAAATACTTAAACATCCCCTTTTTTGGTGATCAAGGGGTCACTGAACTCTGTATTTAGTTTTTGGTTTGTATCTATAGAAGATGTTAAATTCCAAGCTTCCTTAGGACAATGATGAACAAATCTTTATTTTCAGGAAAAATAAATATTAATAGGTTGCATTCTTTTCATTCTTAACTGGAAAAAGCATCGAATCCCTGGGGAATAACTGTCTTAGTCTTAGACAAGTTAGTGAGTGAATGGCGGAGAGAGAACTGGTATGTGGTTAGCCATGATGACATCACGAAGACATCAGGAAGTAGGGAGTGGAAAAGCCCCCCACCTTCTAAAATCAGGGCACAGGTCCCACTCTAAGCTGCATAGGCCAAAGAAACCTGGGCTGCTCATTACAGCCCCGGGCGTCAGGAGCCAGGGAAGTTATAAGCAAGTGTAGGAGGGAAGAAACCTTTTTTAAGGAAAAATACACTGCCTGCCACCTCATCCATGTAAGGAACACACTGTGGAGTGCCTGCGGTGTACTATTGGCTAGAGCTGGCAGGGACCCCAGCACACCCCCAAAATTTTGTACTTGGAGAAAAGAGGTCACAGGGTAGGACGGCACTCCCAAGATAAGTTTAAAATCATACACTTGATGCAGGGGCAACCAGGCAGTAGTGATAAAAAGGATTGTGTTCCATTCTCAGGCCAGAAGTTAGTGTTCTAGCTACCTACCTCTGTGGTGAAATAGTATTATAAATACTTTTCTACAAAAATGTTTTTTAGGCCATCGATTTTGTTTCCTGGCACTATTTGTCAGAATTCCTTTCAGGGTGACCTCTAAGAGTCACAACTGTATTTTTTTAAAACTGCAATTTCCTTTCTTTCCGAGTCTGGCCTGTGCAAGGCCCCCAAGGCCTAGCTGTTGGGTCAGTGAGCAAGTCACTGGATCTGGACACTGTGACATGACAGATTCCACTTAACTAGCCAGAGCTTGGGGCCTTCCCCTGTTCTTAGCTCCTGACAAACCCACACATTCCCACCATGGCCTCCACCAGTCAACCCAGGGTGGCCATCACTTCCACAAGTTCAGACTCATTTTGATGCCTTACTGCACAAGATTCAATTTCTAGTGGCAAAGCCACCTCACCCCACCTGCTGTCATACCTCTCCCAAGGAGGCTGCAGATAGGCATGGTCATCTGGTATACTAGCTTTCCAATCTGCTCAGGTGCTGGCATCACACATGATAAAAGAACTTGACAAACAGAATGTGGCTATTTGCTGTATGTGTGTTGGTATGCACATACTGTAATTAATGCATATGTTCACAACTGTCAAATGAAGTCAAACTGTTTAGCTTCTCCATTAATATGTTTGTCACAACCTGTTTGCAGGTGCTAGCAGATTACAAATGAATTAATAAACATTTACAGGAAAATAATTACAATTGTGAAGAGTCAGTCCATGTTAACAGTCTCCTCTCTGTGAAGTGGGGGTGCTCCCACTGCTTGCTTTGTGCTGGGAGCAGTGAGCCTGGGGCACGGTGGGCTCCCAGTTCCCCACACTACCTCTTCCACAGTCCACGCTGGCAGCCCAGCCCCCTGAAGATCTTTTTGTACCAACACAGAAACCAACTCTACCTCCACATTGTTTCTTTTCTCAGTAGTGAACTGGCTAAATTTCTCCCTGGGGGTTTCGTGCCTGTAGGGTGCATAGGACACTGTGTATACTAGGACTGCAGTAGGACACGCAGGTAGTAAGTGAAGACCCTCTTTGTTCTGTCCTGCCTGCTCACTCCAGCTGGAGGATGGGACTAAGCAGCAGGGAGTTCAGACCTGGTTCTGAGCTTCACAGTAGCTGTCACTATGGGATGACACTCAACAAGGCCAAGGCGGGCCCTGTGGGAGGCTGTGGCAGGAACGGCCTTTTGTCAAGGGAGGAGCCAGGGTGCCATTTCTCAGCTGGCTTAGCATTCGCAGTCCACTTCCTGGTAACCCCCAGGCTGAGCCAGTTCCAGGAGAGTGAGTCCTGTTGTTTCTGGGGTGAGTGGGGGTAGGGGGCGCTTTACAGAGGCTGCGGTGACCGGAGGTCTTCCCTAGTCTCTGCCTTCAACTTCCAAATGCTATGTTCTACACATTTATTTCCCAGGATTCCTGAGGTCTAACCTCAAGGGACACGTGAATAAAATGACTGCTCTTTTGGCCTATTCAAAAGCAATGCAGATTTCAAACTCTCACAGTACAGTCTACAGGCAGATGGAGCTTGACTGCACAGAAACTTCTGGCAGGGCTGGAAGCAAGGAGCTGCTTGGAGGAGAGTCCCCAGAGGCAGCAGGTGCAGTCACAAAGGAAACTGTGGTAGATAAGGCAAGTTCTTAAAAGGCATGACATGAAATCATAGTGCCCAGGCAGCCTGCACAGAGACCGGGCAACAAGGCCCCTGTCCTATCAGATCCTGCTG